TGTTTTTAAATTCACTTAAGAAGATATGACAGCACCATCTGTATTTGTACTGAACCTGTTGTATTAATGGAGGTGGGTTATAAAGCTGTTTAAGTTTATGTTGGGCCCAACATTACAGTGAAGCTACAATCTACAACTTTTTATTGCTGGGTTTTCCTATCTAATCTTTGCTCAAATCCAGAAAAGACCATTCAAAATTACTGGATACAAATATGAGTTGGATGTTAGCTTTCATCAGAACTTTGACTTGAATCAGACAATTAGTAAATGCAACAGCCAAGTACTGTATTTTTCGCTCTATAAGACGCACCTTTCCCCTCCTAAAAAGTAAGGGGAAATGTGTGTGCGTCTTATAGAGCGAATACAGGTGGGAGGCTCTGCTCAGCGCTCCCTTTAAACAGCCGTGTGGAGCATGTGTGTGGCTCTTGGGGGCTTTTCCCCGAGGAGGGAGAAGGGCTGCCCTTCTCCCTCCTCGGGGAAAAGCCCCCCAAGAGCCGCACACACACTCCGCACACTCTTTAAAGGAAGCGCGGCTCTTGGGGGAGCCTTAGCTGCGCGCAACCTCTCCCGGGCAGGGGATGAAGGCCAGTGCTGTGCTGTGATCCCGCTGGCTGTCCTGGCTTCTAGCTTAGCCGCGCAAAGCCTGCGCAGGGCAGCAGGGAGCCTTTATCCCGCTGCCCTGCAGAGGCTTCGCATGACTATCCCTGGCTTTTGCAGGAGGTGCAAAAGCCAGGGATAGCTGCGCTCCCTTTAAAGAGCGTGTGGCTCTTGTGGGAGGTGGGGGAAGTGACAGAGCATGGCTCTCTCACTTCCCACCTCCCACAAAAGCCCCCAAGAGCCACGCTCCCTTTAAAGAGCCGCGCGGAGTGTGTATGCGGCTCTTGGGGGCTTTTTCTCAGTGAAGGAGAAGGGCAGCCCCTCAGTGACTCCCTCCTCAGGGAAAAGCCTGCAAGCACCGCACACACGCTCTACATGGCTCATGAAAGGGAGTGCTGAGCAGAGCCTGAGATGCATTCCCCCTCTAAAAACTTGCATTCCCCCTCTAAAAACTAGGTGCGCCTTATGGTCAGGTGTGTTTTATGGAGCGAAAAATACGGTTATCTATTTTTCACTGTTAACAGTTAAATCTTAACTCCCATGGGAATTGCTTTTAATTTTGGCCCAGATAAGTAAGGTTGTTTTGACCACTTTGTGATCTGAATTTTTAAAGTTGGTTTTTTCCTCCCCTCCCATGTTGCAGCAAAAAGCCAAAGAAGCCTCAACGAAGACAGAACAACCGTCTCAAACCTTTAACGCTGGCTTACGATGGAGATGCAGATATGTAAAATAATGACTTCCCATTGACTTTAGTCTCTTGAAACTGTAGTGTTCAAAGACAACACATACGTGTGTACGTTACTGAGCAGATGTTACACCACAAGACAAAAAAAAAAAAAAAGACTTCACAATGGCCATGGATATTCCAAGAAACATGCTTTGTTCTAGACCATCAGTCAGTACAGCAAATTATGGTGGCAAATTTATCTTGTTAGCACAGCAGCTGGGAATCTTAATGTGGCCTTCTTTGAAACTTATGAACTGCAAAACCGCTTGTGTCTCCAGCCCATTGTATATGACCTAATATTGACATCTGAGTGTCTTGATGCCAGAACTATCTGCTGCATTAAGCTAATGTAGTCAGTAAGCATGAGGAGATCCTACCAAGATGTCTATAATGCTTGATATACAATTTATATACTCCGTTGCACCATATGTATTAACTTGTCAAATGATATACTGGCTAAAGGGGCATTTTAGAGCTTAGCAACATGTTAACTTTAACTGACAATAACAACCCAATGAGCAAGTTCTGGCATTTTGGCAGGGGAGGGTAGGTTTTCTTAACCTCTTTCCTAGGATGCAGGCTTGCAAAAGACTCTGTCCTATACTACCAGTTCCAGGTACTAAAGCGCCATATAGACACACTTATCAAGGAGAGAAGCATTTTCAGGTTCAATGTTTTATAGAGGTTGTCTGGAAATTAATATCCGTGTGTAATAAGTTTTTACTTTCTCTTACTTTCAAACTGTTGCCTGCAACTTTTTTGCTACATGGAAGGCAATTTTTTGCACTATATTAGTGCAGCATGATATGCACTTATTACCTAGTATTGCCATAGAAACTGCCTCTTTTCAGAAAAGGATGAAGGAAAGGATGCGGCAAATCGCATCGCACAGACGTTTATCAGTAAGTTCTTGAGTCCTGTTGAGAGTAGAGCTCAGTTTCTGGACTGTGACTGGATCAAACCAGCTAATGCAAGTACTGTTTATACCATTTCTTGTAACAGCAGCTGTTTTGTAGTCAATACCATGGCAGTAACATTAAGTGTCTACTTTCTGATTCTGTCCAACTTCTACAGATAATAGATTTTCAAGTTGATTTCTAATTACTTTGAAGGTTGTTTACAACTAGATTTTTATATTGCTAACTTTGTAAAAAAAGAAAGAAAGAAAAAAAGTGGTTGCCCACTAATCTTGGGGAAAATACTTATCTAAACAATAATCCAATATTTTCAAGCTGAAAGATGCAAAATATCTGTTTATTTTTCTCCTGCTAATGCACTGCTGAAGAATCAATAAGCACTCTTTCCATTTGAAATAACCTGGTGTAGTCTTGACTGATTCCACCCCACCCCATCCTGACTCAAGGAATATTTTTTAAATTCTTAAACATTATTGTCCAACTGCCTAGTTGAATTGTGGGGGCTCTATTTCACTCTCAGAGCTTCCTTGCCTATTGATTTCAATGGATCGAACTGATCAAGAATTCCTTTGAATGAGACACAGCCAGCCGACACCGCTCCGTGAATATTCAAAACTGTACAACTTATCATATTTCTGGCAATTACAGCTGCTTAATCTCTAGTAACCTTTTCCATTCCAATGGGTTTTTGGTGTATTAACTTACAATATGAAGCCCCTTTAGCCGCTAGAAATCCTCAACCTTTGCAAAATGTAAGGTCAATATTTAAATACATCATCTATGTCTGTCTAGTTGCAGGTTAATGAGCAATACAATTAATAAACTTTATCAGGCATCCATTACACATTAATGATTTTACTTCTAATTTCTCAGGTTTGTATCAATAAGCTAAACCATTCCTAATGCACCCCGCTATATTGCCCGTTGATAAAAGTCAATACTCTCAGCTGTTTCATGCAAATATGGCTACCTAGACAGGAAAGATATGCATTTATTTTTAGCATTGGTTCACAATTACAACGTCAGAGTGTCTGATCTCATGCTGCTTTTCGTTTTTTTCGAAATGAAGATTTATCATAACTTGTGAATCTGTTATTAGCAGTAAAATAACATGAACACAAGGGTTATTCCAAGCAACCTTGAGAAAGGTTCAAAATAAGTGGATATAAAACACAGCCAATTTACTGATATTAAACATTGAGAAACTGACTAGCAAATTGAATGAATGGTTAGTTGAACTTTTACTACATTATCTGTGCAATCCTATGCATGCTTACTTGGAAGTAAGTCCCACGGTGTTTGGTGGGACATGCTCCCAGGTAGGGATTGCTTCACAAGACATGTGCATCTTCAATTTACATTACAGGGTGTAAAAAAAAGGGAAAAAGATGCACAAAGGATGTTCTTTAATTGTAAAAAGAAAGAATTATTTTAAAAGATTATTGAGAGGAAGGCTGTAGGAAGCCCACAATTGCAGTCTGGATTATGTTAAATCTAGAGATCAGAACGGTAGCACTGAAACAGGAATATAAGAAGTATCTGTATAAAAATAAGTTGCTTTTAAGATGTGTTTCTACAAATCCAGTGCCTAAAGCAGCCACTTCGGTAGATTGTTAGTTTGTGAAAATAATGTTTTCAGTGACCAATTCTCTTTGATCCATTCCAAAAATAGCTGACTAGACATTTTCTTCTTATTGTGGAGGTTTGTAATTTCTGTTTTAAAATGGTGGGTTTTAAAAGATTGTTACGTCTGCTTTGAGAACTAGAACAATTCTTCTTCAATGTTTGCTGGTTCTGAGCAAGCCTGATTATATTTGTTACGGTCTCTGGATCTTAAAATCCTCATCCTATCACAGAAATTTTAAGCATCTTTTTTTTCAAATTCAGCACTACATACACAAAACGATTTCAGCAATTCTGTAATCATCACTGTAAAAAAAAAATCGCTGGAAGGAAACAGATCTGTCTTTTTACCTTTTGTAAATTGTGCTCACCCAAAGTTTAAAAAAAATTATTTTGCCTAACTTAATTTACTTGAAAAGTTTTTTGTTTTTTTTTTGGTAGAGTATGGAGGCAACTGTCTGGGGAAAATTTGCTTTTTGTTAATTTGTAAATGGTGTAATGCATTTTTATTTTTTAAATTATGTATATTTCTTTCTTTTTTTAATGCACAAAATGTTTATGTACTACTGCAAATTTGTGTATATTGTCACCAAACATTATTCAGTTAATGCAGATCACATGTGAAAATGTAAAAAGTCCTTACATTTTCATATGGGAGATTTGTACATAACTGCGGTAATGCAGACAATAAATATTAACAGAAAACTGGTGTGTCTTCGTCATAACTGAAGCGTTATCTGGTCACGGAGTAACAACAAACATCACCTTTTCAGTACTGAAAGGTGTGAGGTACCTGAGTGCTGCACACCACTGTGCCTGTTAAGACCAAGAAAATAAAACAAATCCAGTAAGACCTTTTGGATCATGGAAGCTAGAATAAGGATGCTCAGCTATTTCAATGCAATATAGAGATGTCCGCTATGTGCATAGAAGCTTACTTCTGTGGTGACATCACCTTTGTGGGATCAGTTTGAATGTGTGGCATAGAAGCAGGAGGGAGGGATATCTCAAGCTTGTCATTAGCAGAAAACCTTACAATTTCTTTTAAAAAGAAGAAGAAAAGTCCTTTTCTTCCACCTCCCAGAGAAAAGATGGTGATAGGCTTTAGATAAAATATGGAATCACTTTTATCATACCTTTATTTTTTTCCCCTGTTCTGGGCCAAAGGCTTCAAGTTCACCAACCTCTTGCTCCAAACTGCCTCCAGAAATTCCTGCATGCTCTGGAATAACAAAATTCACAAATGATTGGCATAGTTTAGCATGTATGGAGAGAATGTTAATACTCTTGACAGGAAGACACATGGCATATTGTGTACTCCCCTCCCCTCTTTGGTGTCCCTCCCTGCTGGACCACTTTTCTTCCATTCCTAAAGTGATAAGAACAGATGGCCCTTCCCCCCCTCAGCTGGATATTTGCTTCGCTTTTATTGATTGCTCTGACAGCTTTAATCCACTTTGGAGGTGGGCAGCCTCAGCTTTAATTGGCTATAATGTTATTAGAATGGTGTTCATATGACAGCGTTTAAAAAGCATCAAGCCCAAAAGGTCGTTGAGTGCAAATAATGCACTTGAAATACATCCTTAGGGTGACTTCAGGTAACCAAGGTTCCTCCCCACGCAAGCTATATTCTGCCATTTCTTGTGAATGCAAATATGTGGTGGGATTTCCACACACCAAAAAGGGCACTGTGGGTAGTTGACACTGGCACCGCAACGCAACAACGAAGCCACACATCTTGCTTTCCAGAGGCAAACCCACATTATGTGCCAGACAATAGTTACAGTACAGCTCAAAAATAAGATGCAGAGAGGCAAAGCCATATGGAAATATCCTTTGACTTCAGTCAGGAGGTCACTTAGCTTGGCAAAAACAGTCCCAAGTTAAGCAGACCTGTGGGGTTGCAGGCAACACAAACATTTTGGACATCATGCCTGCTGAATACAAATGTTTGTTCCATCTACCAGAATAAACCTTTGACCACCGTTTAAAGCAGAACATAGTGTGGATCAGATTATTATGCTGAGATATGATCCGAACCTGTGGTTCCGGTAAGGGTGAGCATAATCTGTAATGCAATCCGATACCAAATTAATAAGATCTTTCTCTTCCCCCCGTCAGAGTTGACTTTTAAACACTTCTCCCAAAGTGGTTTCCTACTGTCTCTGGAGGAATATTTCCGTCCCCATTCTGTCTCTCAAATATCCCTGAACATGCTGACATCAAAGGCATTTTAAAAAGTCACTAATGATTGTGTATTTCAAGGACCATTTCCTTTCATTTCTTTCTTGTGTCTTCTAAAAGAAGACAGAAGCGGAAGATGACATGATAAAGAACACCGTGTGAGCTTCAACTTAACACCACTCTAAGAGGGAGTTCTGAAAGTAAAGAACCAAACTTCTCCCCATCATAAAAGGGGAGGGGGCAAGAGGGTCCACCAGCTTTTGTTGCTTTTGATGCAATCCAATTAGTTAAACAGAGACCTACTGCTGAACAAAGTGAATCACAAGTCACTCCTAAACTTTGAGTAGGAAAACCCTAAAGCAGGTATTTATAGCTAGGTTCAATGTGAATCAAAGCAGGGCTTAGATTCAAAAGTGTCCCATTAGGAAGAAAGGGCCTCAACTGTGATGGGGGGGGGGAGGTGAGAGACGTGGACTGATAAAACAACCTAGAAGCCATCAAAGCAAACTAAATGAAAAGATTAATGAAGTCCAGGTGTAAATGAAAGCACGTCTCCAGCAGGTTTTAATGAAGCTCGTGTAGTACAGAGGATGGATGGAGTGTTAGTGTGAAAATTGTATTGAAAACAACTATTAAACAAAACACCTAGGAGTGTTTCAGGAGTGCCAAGGAAAGGATTTGGAATAATTTTCAAATATACACAGAATATAATGATGCTGAGAACCGAATTCCCAAGCCCAGGTCAGCCTTGACACAGCTCCCAAGTTTACTGGAGAAAAGTTGTCCGAGGACACTTCTTTGTATTTGCATTCTGGGGTTGAAGAAATAACTGGAATAAGACCTAAAGCGTACCAGCTTTCTCATACCATGAAGTCAAAGATAGGAACTGATCCCTAAGCTGAACGATATGACAGGGTGTTTGTATGTTACAATTTTCAGCTATTAACACACCTTATTTTCACCTCCCCAATTTACAAAGGGGCATGTACATTCCTCCTTTTGCTGCAGGTCCATGCATGCAGGGCAACCTTCACACCTCTTACTGGCTGCTCTTACAGGCACACATAGTGTCAGGCTTCAGAGAAGCGGCTTCCTCTCTCCCCCCCCCCCTTGGCCATAGATAAGCAGAAGAAAGCGAAAGGAATCGCTTACCAGTTAGAAATTTTAATGATCACAGCGAGAACAAAGAATCCATTCCTTAGAATGAAGGTGCTCCCAATTAAGGTTTATACCCACTTCCCCCCTAGTCTCCCCCGTCACTTCCGCATCTTGCAACCTGATCTCGCAACCACTGTGCTATTCTGTGCTGCACCTTATCTGCTCTCCTTGACCTTGGACTGAGCGGATGGACACTTTCCAGCGAAAGGGAGTCTGTTTCTTTCTCCTGGTTCTTCTCCTCCTAGCTATTCCCCACCCAGTACTTCCCAGCTTCTGCCTTCTGAACTATGTCCCTCTGCAAACCACTGTTCTAAATCAATACTACTTCCGTGCTCCAGGGAAGATTCTGGATCCTGGTCAGGCGCAGGGGGAAGGGGAGGCTCCCACCATTCCTCCTCAGTGCAGCCACCCTCAGCACGGTCCCTGACACACAGATACTTTCTGATCAGAAACGTTACTTTCTCTACAACCAGGTACACAAGCTGCTGTGAACATTCATTAGTGCACCAGAGTCACAAGTGCCACTGGTTTCTTCTTCCTATGAGCATGCACTCAAATCCCAAACACAAAGCAATATTGTTCCTAGTACTTTTGTTTCTCAATTTTGCGAGGGGGGGGGGAGAGAGAAAGAGAATAGTTTGCAAATGAGAAACTGGAGATTATTAAGTATTCCCATAGGCTCTGATCCAATCCTCCAAGCAGGTAACCCCAGTTAGATATTTGGGACAGTGCCATTTAGTGGCTTGGTGGTTAAGAAAGAGGAAAGGGGAATTATATCCAGCTCTATCCCTTCCTAAGCAGCTAATTGCTGCTATTGCATATCTAACACAACTGATACCTTCTGATGTTTTACAGGTACAAATAAGTGGGTGGGTGGGTGGGTGGTGGTAGATGGATGGATGGATACATAAACAGATACCCTATTCCAGGGGTAGGCAACCTAAGGCCTGGGGGCCGGATGCGGTCCAATCGCCTTCTCAATCTGGCCCGCAGACTGTCCGAGAATCAGCGTGTTTTTACATGAGTAGAATGTGTGCTTTTATTTAACATGCATCTCTGGGTTATTTGTGGGGCATAGGAATTCATTCATTTTTATTTTTCAAAATATAGTCCGGCCCACCACATGGTCTGAGGAACGGTGGACCAGCCCACGGCTGAAAAAGGTTGCTGACCGCTGCCCTATTCTCATAACACAATTCTATATTCTGTCAGCTGTCCACTACTTTAATTTACTCTCCCCACCAGTTGTCCTTCAAAAATTTCTGAAGCATGAAGTATGGATTTAGTAATGTTTCATACAATGGCTTAGCAATGTTTTATACAATGGCCAATCTCACAACAAATAATCTGTACTTCCTACAGAATAGCTGCAAGATGAAGCACACACTGCAGTCTTAATGAAGGGTTGACTTTAGATTATGGGCTGTCCTTGTGACCTGCATGGGGCCACCTCAGTGCCACTGTCTCCATTGCTCACTTCTTCTCGCCCTCTGCTTTAGGTTAGTGTTGCAGAGATAAGAAACGTGAAGGCCTTGGAAGGTGCCTGATACCAACTTTGGCCCCTGCCCTTGCATTTATTATCAGAGTAAATAATAGAGGCTGAAAGAAAAACAAGTGTGCAAGGAATCCAAAAAAGGCATCTACAGAATCTTCCCAAGAGGCAAAACTAGTGATTTATCAGTTACACGTGCCAAACACACAGGTAAAGGTAAAGGTACCCCTGCCTGTACGGGCCAGTCTTGACAGACTCTGGGGTTGTGCGTCCACCTCACTCAAGAGGCCGGGGGCCAGCGCTGTCCGTAGACACTTCCGGGTCACGTGGCCAGCATGACAAGCTGCATCTGGCGAGCCAGCGCAGCACACGGAAACGCCGTTTACCTTCCCGCCGGTAAGCGGTCCCTATTTATCTACTTGCACCCGGGGGTGCTTTCGAACTGCTAGGTTGGCAGGCGCTGGGACCGAGCAACGGGAGCGCACCCCGCCGCGGGGATTCGAACCGCCGACCTTTCCATCAGCAAGTCTTAGGCGCTGAGGCTTTAACCCACAGCGCCACCCGCAATCCCCAAACACACAGAGGTATCCCTTAAAATATGAGTTGGAACTGCTCGCCTTTGTATTGGGGCCTGTGGATATAGGCCATATCTTGACTGTCACTATTTTGTGAAAGTGCATACCTGAACTTAAGGTTTGTGCATGTAAAGTGGATTAAGGCAACTCAATCACCCTAGCAGAACAAAACCAATGAAAAAAACACATCACAGGCTTCTTCCAGGTTGGAAAGTGACTAGGTAATTCATTGAAAAGTGTGGGATACACTGGGTTAAAAGTGAGTGGGGCTGGTCCTGATTCTGTTCTCTTAGAATTGTAGGTATTAGCATTTCACTATTAAGGGTCAAGCATGGCTGCTTTCAAACTATGGGCTAAAAACTAGAAGGAGAAAGTACATACCTGTGGGAGTATCCTGGAAAACCACAGGCCCCTTTCTTTGCAAAAGGACAAATTGTCGATTATCCTGCAAAGAATGAGAAAGCAAGCAGCATTTGACTGCAAGATCAAAAACGTGTCATGGGAGTTCTCTTCCAATTGTCTGCTACAGACCCTGTTTGGTCTCTATAGGACTATTACAGGGAGCAACTCTGATGGGAACAGCACAAGTAAATTACTGACTGATTGAAGAAGAAGTGGCAGATAACTGAAGTGTTTCCTGCCTCCGCTGAAAGTATAGAAGATGTGCTCAGAATGCACTTTAGAGAGCAATTCACAATGCCTACCAGCCTTTCCCAACCTGGTGCCCTCCAGACGTTTTGAACTGCAACTCACATCAGCCTCAACCTGCATAGTCATGCTGGCTGCGGCTAGTGGGAGTTGTGGTCTAAAATGTCTAGAGGACATGAGGAAGGCTGGTGTATATGTACCTGGGAACAGAGCATATTTGGGGTAACAGCTGGCTCACTCACTTCCAACAGAATTCCATGGGTCTTTGGCATTAATTAAGTTCTGGGTTAGAATCAGGGGAGACAGGAGTGTGATTTTCCTCTTCTACTAACCGCTTTAAATGAATACACTGTAACTACAGCTGATGGTAGATTTGACTTCCTAGCACCTAGCACATACCTGATACCAAACTAATGGGTGGGAATCTTCCCCTTCCCCAATGTAGGGATATTAGGGGAGGGGTAGTACCTCTGGTGGAGCGCACATTGTGCTCCTTCTGGGGTAGTCTGTCCACCTTTGGTCCCCACGCTGCACTCAGTGCTCACCTGTGGCTCCATGAAGCTGTTGGCATATGGCAACAGCCACATCCCAAGAATAGCTTAGACTGCCTGGCTAAACCAGGTGAGGGTAGCCAATGGGTCTCAAACCCTCAGTGAGGTAGGGGACTCCCCCTGCATGTGAAGACAAGCTCTAGTGGATTGAGCAGAGAAGACCAAAAGTGGGTCTCTCTAGAGACAGATGCCAGCAACAGCTTCCAGCATCCCTTACTATTGGTTTATGCTGTCTGGGACTGATGAGCTGGAGACCAACAACATTGGGTGTGGGTGTGTGGGTGTGTGACAGGTTCCACATTCCTGGTGTAAATCATCTAATTCTTGTCTGAAGAACTGGGTCCAACTTCTTACAGCATTTTGTAGGGGGCAGGCCAGCACACCCACTCCCACATTTATTCCACTTTGAGGACAGGGTAAAAATTCTAAGACTTAGTCCTCTGGAGGGTGGTGTTACCTTTTCACTATGAAGTGGATTTTTCTTTAACTGGGGCGGGAAGTCTTGGTGTCGCAGAGTAGTCAGGCAGCAATCCAGCTTCCTAAGTAAAATGGGGATGAAATAATAGATGAAAGGGGGGAAAACTTTAAGCACTTCATATTTAAAAGGTCTTTTTAAAAATGTTTGACATCCTATATTTTAATGCTTGGTGTTTTATTGTGTTTTATATGTGCTGGAAGCCACCCAGAATGGATGGGGAAACCCAGCCAGAAGGGTGAGGTATAAACAAAATAACAATAATGTCAGAAACCCCACACACCTGAAAGCTGCTCAGCATTTCCCTCCTCCCACACTTCTCAAGGGAAACTAATGGTCCAGTAAAAAGGAGGTATTCAGCCTAGTCCTCAAATGATCATAATGATGACTATCCTGTGTTGCTATCCCAATATTCTGTTTTTAAAGACCTTACAGAACTTTATTTTGCAGGAAGCAAGAAACCACCAGCAACTGGAATTAGAGAATGGGAAACTGTGTTACACCAGGTTAAACTTATATAGCCCAGATTTGCCTATGCTAGCTGCCACTATGCAGACAGGAGTCTTTCCAATCTGCTTCTGAAGCTAGTACCCCAGCACTGAGCTCTCATCCTTTCCCATAGTGGTAGCAGTCAGGTAACATTTGCACCAATTTGCATGACAAAGGTGGAAAATGCAGAAGAGAGCAAGAGTTTAAAACAACCTGGTGATCAATTCTGCCAAGTATATGGCTTGTGTCTTGCAGTGAGGAAAACAGTTATGGCTACAATCCACAAGATGGCAGGCTTGTCAAACTTCCTTGGGATATTTGAGCCGTCCTTTTGAACATAAGCAAAGCTTCAAGTTCACAAAACAAAAAATTCTGACTAGGTAGCCCGAATATGTCAACTTATGCATTTTGCACAAACATTCCGCAATCTTTTGGGAACAGCCTTTGCTATGTTCTGGGTCCAGATAAGAATGTAAAGTCATCTATAAGGAGCAGCTCTGGCTAAAATAATAATTTTCATATACTCCCTTATTTTAGGGAGCACCAGGGTGGCGTTCGTGGTTCTCCCCCTCCCAACTTTATCTTCACAACAACCCTCTGAGGCAGGCTGGACCTAAGGGACTTCATTGCCAGTAGAGGACTTGAACTCATTTTGCCCTCGCCCATGTCTGAGCTCTAACCACTACACCGCATTGGCTTCCTGCACGGCACACCACATCCGACTCCCAAAATCAAATATATATTTATTCAAAATTCAGCACAGGCTAGCAAGCTGTTAAGTATACGGTGGCTAAAGTTATCAGTGTTTCAAAATGGCGCGCTATCTTTGCTGTTCAAGTGCTGCTGACTTAAGCCAGAAAAGGTAAGAGAGGCAGGCTCCTTCTGTGAGAAGGAGAGGAAAGTATTTTAGGGGTAAATTAAAAGGGAGACCATTGGGGAGACCACCTCAGCCAGTCTCATGGGTGGGACAGCTCTGGTCAGGGATGATGGGACTTAATACTCCAAAACATCTGAGGGCACCGTGTTGACTAAGGCTGGGCTTAAGCGTCAGACTAAGGTCACAGAGATGCAAGTTCAAGTCTCCACTAAAGCTCACTGAGTGACTATAGGCCAGTTGCTTTCTCTCCCAGCCTAAACTAACCTCACAAGGTTGATGTGAGGACAAAACAGAAGGGAGATACTGTACGCATTACTCTGAGCTCTCTGGGGAAATGGCAGAGATGCATAAAGACATGAATGCATATATTCTGGAGAGGTACCAGCTCTCCCACTGTACAAATTCAGCACCTAGGCAATCAGCATGTTGTAGACAAAATGAAAAAACAACTGTTTTATTAGTGAACTGCCACGGTTGAGAACACACAGGACTTACAATGCTCTAGCCCACCCAGAGGTCAGATGGATGCAAACAGCAGGGCACTCCAAATGGAGGAGTCGTCTTTGGGAAGCAGCTGTAACTCCGGGTGAGGGTTGACCTCCAGAGAAGGTTGAGGACAGAAGTGAAGATCACACATAAGATTGCTGGATCTAAAACAGAACATGACATGCAGAGAAACCTGATGAAAATCAATGCATGTTTTCCAATGAGATATCACTTTATTGGTGAACTATTTCTGTGCATTAATGCTTGTGCTTGCTTGATTTTTTTGTTCATTTTGCAAAGTGCAGATGGAAATGAAGTATCAGTTGATGGGGGGACAGGGATGAGAGCTCCAATTCATTTAGGATCTCTTGTGCCACGCAGAGTTAACTAAAGATACTCAGGCATTCTCTCCCCCCCCCCCCCCGCTTCCCTAAGCATTTCCTGCAGTGTGATAAGACAAGGAATGGGGCCTGTTTCAGAATTTAAAGGCACTGACTATGATTAGTTTGAAGAAAACTTTCAATGGCACCTTAAAGAAAAACGAAAAGAAGATTAATTCCTGAACCAATACAAATAAAGATCTAGAGGAAATGCCAGCTGAATTCCACAAGAGGGCAGCAGAGTCCCGCATTTGGAAGAATGTGAAATCAGGCCATTCATTCTCCTTGTGTTTTGTTTTACTCTCCCTTTCTCCCGCTTCATTATAATTTCGCTGAAAACAATAAATGCAAACAAACACTGTCATGCGAGCAAACAGCAATATATAAACTGTATTTTGGAAGCACAGAACGGCACCAAGTACCAGACAAGTTAAATGAAATGAGTACATGGTGTAAAAGGGGATAAATGCTAATCCTGGCTAGTGTCCATTAAAGCAATTTTGAATCTTGGATTGTTCAAATGGACATGAGAAGGTGCTTCATCTTCTGGCTGCCAATGCAGTATTTAAACTGATTTTTTTTTAAAAAAATGCAAATAATGCAAATTGTCTATAAACAAAATTCTTTTTATCGAAAGCTGGGAAGGGCTGTAGCTCAGCAACAGAGAACCTGCCAAGTATGCAGAAGTTCCCACCTTGAACTGCTGATATCTCCACATAGGCCTAGAAGAGACCTCTGTCTGGAACCTTGGTGAGCTGCTTTAAGTCAGTGCAAACAGTATGGAGCTAATGGCCCAATGATCTGACTCAGTGGCGTAACATGGGTTGCCAGCACCTGGAGCCGCAGAAAGGGTGGGTGGGAGGGAAACACACGGAGCATGCATGCACATTCAACTGCCTAATGGCACCCGCGTCACCCAGAGGAGTGCAGCCACAGAAATAAGAGTTCTGTTGTCTGAAGAAGTCACTTCCTTGTTCGCATGCAGAAGCCGTTTTTAACGGAGACCAGCAACGGAAGCGTACAGCTGTATTCAGGCAGCACCTGGTGCTGAGATTTCATGCCCCTAACCATTTTGCACCCGGGGAACTGCCCCTGTGCGCGCACACACATCTCCAATGCTACGCTCCTGGTCTGACTTTGCATAAGGCATACCCCTCAACCATCCCATTTTAAGCAGGACATCCTGGATATTACAGAAGCCGTCCCAGCTTCTGATTGACTCCTGGGGTTTCCCATTTTGGCTCCTGCAAGATCACGGCCCTGAGAGACTCGCATTTTGGGGCACCGTCCTCTCATGCAAGTCACCAGGCTCTTGTGAGATCATGGCCCCGAAAGATATGCGTCTTGGTTTTCCTCCCAGGCACGTTTGAGGGTATGCATAAGGCAGCTTCCTGTGTTCCTGGCAAAATGTGGGCTAGCCCATGCTCTTGTTAGGTGGACTTGTAGCTTGGTTTTACTGGCAGAAGGGAATACAAGGTTGCCTAAGGAGTGTGACTATAGCCACTGAGCTTTTGTCACTTCAGGCACAACCCACCATTAGTTGGGAAGGAAAAGCCCGTGCTGACTCCAAGCAACATGCAAGCAATCTGCTGCAAACTGACTCTTAAAAACGTTGGATCAAACAATGGCACTTTGCCACTACAAATGATGTGCGGAAAGGTCCTAAGAGGCAAAAGGATAGCCATCTTCAAATGTCTGAAGAGATGAAGAATCACAGAGATGATGGATCAACCCTGCTTTCACTTGCTCCAAAGAGGTAGGACCAAACCAAAGGGTCAAATCACAAGGGAAAGGATTTCAATTCAACATTTAGAAGAACAGTACAGTCATACCTCGGGTTAAAGTTGCTTCAGGTTGAGTGTTTTCGGGTTGCGCTCTGTGGCGACCCAGAAGTAACAGAACACGTTACTTCCAGGTTTTGCCGCTTGCGCATGCGCAGACGCTCAAAATGACGTCATGCGCATGCACAAAAGCGGCGAATCGCGACCCGCAAACGCACAGATGCGCAGGCGCTGGTTGCGTTCTCTTCAGGATGTGAACGGGGCTCCAGAACAGATCCCGTTCGCTTCCAGAGGTACCACTGTACAAGCTGTTCAGCAGTGTTACAGACTAGCCTCAGAAGATGTTGGGCTCTCCTTTGTTGGGTGATTTGAAACAGAAGCTGGACGACCAACTTACCAGGGATGCTGTAGGAGGGGATTTCTTATATCAGTTGGGAGTTGGGGCAGGAAGGCTTTTGAGAGCCTTTCCAAACCTATTATTATATGGGGAGAGGAGAGATGTTTCCTAAACATGCACTTTTAATTTGAACCATGAAATAAAAAGACACTACAATCTTGTTCCTACAGTCATTTCTATTGGGCTAAACACCATCACAACAGCCAGTTTCGCCCAAATGGATATTCTGAATGCACCCCAAAAGAGCTGGGCAGCAGCGCCACCTTAGTTTCCAGGTGGCAGAGGGATGGATGCCTGAGTACAGTCCCACTGACAATATAAGACAAATAAAAACAGAAAAATAGTGCTTCTGGGGGAAAGGGCTGAACTTGGCCTCTCTATCTTCCCATGTGCTAGAAGATTCACCACCCTCCTTATGGAAGGCCATTTGCATATTTGATCTTCTATCCACCCTTGGTGGGGGGGGGGCTATCTTGTTAGAGCTTTATGACTTCATTCTGCTAAATGCCTAAACCAGCCCCTTTTGGTGCTGCTGAGATAACAATTATGATGCACAGGCACAAGCAAATCTGGCCAAGACATAGCTTGCATGAAGGGGCATCCATGTGGTAAGGGGGAGCGTGGCTGTGCTACTAGCCCCCACCTCCATTGTTACATGCATCACCAGCCCTGCTGACATCTCCACATGGTGCTTTCTCTCTTTAGACCTTTTTGAATGTTGTTGGCACCTGTCTGTCTCAAGAGACGATGCAGGGTGCTTCCAGAGGTGAAGTCAAACCTGCTGTGTTGGCAGCAGCAAAATGACCTCCCTGAGATGCAAGCCTGGGCAGTGTGTATGGATGACAGGACCCAGCCCCTCTGGGCCTCGTGGTCCAAAGGAAAGCAGAGCAGCAGAGGATTAGGATCAGAGTTTTCCTTCTCCCAGATGGGCTACCTTCCCAGGATGAGTAGCCCTAGCTGCCCCTCACTTCCCTAACAGCACGTGCAGAAACTGCCTTCTTGGCTGTTGGACCCACTACTGGTCTCGTCCACTCAATCTGCCAGAGTCTCTCTTAACATGCAGTGGAAAGTCACTAAATCACCAAGCGTTTGAGACCTTATTATTCCTACATTTTCTAAGGTATAGAAGGAACCACACCAAGAGAGGGGAAGGGGAGTTTCTATTACAGGCCAGCCATGCCTTCTAAAGAGACAGGCCACATGCATTGCCGGCTATGGCGGGGGGGGGGGGGAGAGGGGAGAGGGGAGAGAGAGGCCTGCTCCCCTGAAGCAAACAGGAGAAGCTGTCCACTGCAGACCTCAAGGGCTCTGAATCAGAGTACAGTGGTACCTCTGGTTGCAAATGGGATCCGTTCTGGAGGCCCGTTCACAACCTGAAAACAATGCAACCCACATCTGCTCACACGCAGGTCACGATTAATTGCTTCTGCGCATGCGTGTGACGTCATTTTGCATGTCTGCACATGCGCAAGCGGCGAAACCCGGAAGTAATCCTTTCCGGTACTTCTGGGTTGCTGCAGGATGCAACCTGAAAAAGCGTATGACTGTACCCATCTGGACCTTAGTGCTATTTTTGCATAAAAAGAAATGCCAGAACTCACCATGAACACCTCCCTTGTTCTCTTAGAATGGCAATGGGGCCCAGCTGAGAAATGCCAGAACTGAGCTCTGGTGAGTTCTGGTTTTTGGGGGGGTTTTTTTAAAGCCCTGCATCTACTATTTGTCTCATGGAAAATCTAGAGCACTTTATGGCAATTAATTCCCGTTGCTAAATGAAGATCACACACAAATATGCACCTGTGTCAAGAGAACATGAACCACTCAAGACCCAAAGCCATTTTCTACCTATTATGGCAGGAGTGATATAAAAATTGCCTGTCCTAAAACACTAGCAGGGATTTGCTCTGGGCTTATTTGAAAACAAACCTAGATTGGCACCTGAGCAGGTAGCATAAATTTAGTTCCTAAAATCATCAAGAAACGTCAAGTATAAAAATGTAGCTGGTCGGACATGAAAATGTATTGATGTTGTATGGCATGGGGCCAAGTCTTTTGTACCTTTTCCTTGTCAGCAAGTGCCTTCATTTCATTACAGGGAATGTGCTTTTGGAGCACCTTCCTTTATCAGATTTCACTTATAAAGACACCAAGGTTTAAATTCTCTCCATGGTTCCATGCTGAATTTTACAGAGCAGGGAGAATTATGGCCCAGGCATTGCTTTAAAGTCAGTAGGTTGGCTTTCATATTGGGCAGCTTCTGCTCAAAAGCTTCTTTGTGAATCATAAATCAAATGAAGAGCATAATAAAATCACACTTTCTTTAAAAGTAGCTGTACAATGCATTTGGCGTTAGGAAGAGGAGGAAAAATCCCCCTCTCCCTCTGCGAAAATGGCTGAAATAAAATACAAATGGTTGATATTTATCCTAAAGTGCCCAGCGCCCGTTTTATATGCTGTTATTTCTCTCTTTTACAAATGTGTTCACTGTAATGTCCTCATGAGACTGGCATCCTGTTTTTCCAGTAGCTCTCGGTGCTGAAGGAACGCAAAACAGAAGCCCCTGGTTTTAAAATAGGGACACAAATTAAGGCTTGCTGAAGAATGGG